AAAATGATTACTTTGTGTTATTTATACTACATTTGTTTCTAATGGCTGAAAGATTTCAAGTTATATTTCAAGTCAATATTAAGATTTTTAAGATGTATTTGAAAAGAAAAATGTAAATATTCTACTAGAACATTGTTTCTATGATTGTTTAATTGATCTTCAAGAAGGAACTCAATCGCCATTTGGATTAATTTATAGTTTATCACAAAATGAATTAGCTAAATTCAAGGAGTATATTGAAGAAAATTTAGCCAAGAATTTTATATTCCATTCAAAATCTCCAACAAGAGTTCCAATTTTATATATAAAGAAAAATGATGGATCATTGCAAATATGTATCGATTATCAAGGACTCAACAAAATTACCATTAAGAATAAGTATCTACTATCTTAGATATCTAGACTTTTTGATCAATTCAATCAAGCTAAGATCTATACAAAAATAGATCTATGAAGAACATAAAATCTAGTACGCATCAAAGAAAGAGATAAATAGAAGACTATGTTTCAAACAAGGTATATACATTTTGAATATAATATCATACCTTTAGAACTTACAAATTCATTAACAACTTTTTAATATTTAATAAATAATATTTTTCAAGAATTTTCAAATGAATTTTTTATCTATTATTTAAACAACATCTTAATCTATTCTAAGAATACAAAAGAATATGAACTTCATATTTTCACGTGTTACAAAAACTAAGAGATACAAGATTCTATGCCAAGATAGAAAAGTATATATTTCACGCTACTCAAGTCAACTTCTTAGGATACAACATTTCAAATGAACTTATGATGGGTCCTAAGAAAATTCAAATTATTATAGATTGAAAGGTCTAAAAAAATAATAAGAAATATTTAATGTTTTTTAAAATTTGCTAATTATTATGAGATCTTCATTAAGAATTTCTCTCAAATTGTAGATCCACTTATACATTCGACTTGTTAAAAAAAACTTCAATGGAATCAAGAACCAGAAGTAGTATTTGAAGCTTTAAAGACAACCTTTATTTTTGTACCAATCTTGTATTGAATTAATTTTTTTAAGCCATTTTTTATAGAAACAAATGCATCAGACTTTGCTTTGCATACATATTATCACAAATAGAAATAGCTAATTAACTTCACCCAATAGCTTTTTATTCAAGAAAAATTTTAGTAGTTGAGATCAACTATAAGGTTCATAAGAAAGAATTTATTGTAATTATAGATTTGTTTTAAGAATGGCGCTATTATTTGTAAGGTGCTTTTAATCTAGTTATTATTTATGTTGATTATAAGAATTTTAAATACTTTATGTCAAGACTTGTTTTGAATCATCGCCAAGCTCATTGAAGTATGTCTTAATTAAGATTTGATTTTAAGATCGCTTATCAATCCAAAAAAAAAACAATGTTTGTTAGATGCCATTTCTAGACATTTTTATCTTGCACCAAAAGAAAGAGATGCATCTTTTCATTAACAAAAAAAAATCGTGAAGTTGGAGCATTTTCATCTATGACCAATAAAATCAACATTAATTGTTGATTCAACCCTTGTCAAAAAAATTCAATCAAGTATGTCCTCTAATCCTCTTATTCATGATATTAAAAGTCCTACTATTAAGTCTCATGTGTAAAGAAATGTCCAAGCTTTTCTTTAACAATATCTATCGCTATCATGGATTGCCTAAAGATACTATATTAAATAGAAAAATTCAATTTATATCAAGATTTTGGAATTTTTTTTTTAAGATTCTAAAAGTAGACATAAAACTATCTTCATCTTTCCATCCTCAAACTAATGGACAAACAAAGCATATGAATCAAGTTTTGGAGCAATATTTAAGTTATACCATCAACTACCAAGATGATTGGACAACTCTTTTGCCATTGGCAGAATTTGCTTACAATAACACAATACATTCTTCTATTCAATAAACACCTTTCTTTGCTAATTATGATTATCATCTATAACTTGATGCTTTTGACTTTTTAAAAGTTGATAATATTATGGCGGAAGATTTAACAAATCATTTATTTGAGCTACATATAATAATGAAGGCGCAACTAAAAGAGGCTTAAAAACAACAAAAGAGCAACGTAGATGCTTATTGTAAGGAACAATCTTATTTCTACATTAGTAATAAGATATGATTATTTTATTGTAATATTAAAACTATTTACTTTTGTGACAAGTTAGATTATTGTATTTTTAAACCATTTCTTATTTGTGAACAAGTCAAATAAATTGCTTATTGATTATATCTACTGGAGTCTATGAAAATCCATTTTGTATTTCACATGTCTCTTTTAGAGCCATATAAGATAGTGAATATCTCGAGAAGAAGACAAATACTACTATCTCTTATAGACATAGGTAATAATCAAGAATTTGAGGTAGAAGAAGTTTTAAACTCAAGGTGGAACCAATATAGGTTGGAATATCTTATTCATTTGTATAAGTATAATATTAACAAATACACATGGAAGTCGACAAAAAATCTTAAAAATACAGCAGAGAAGGTCAAAGCTTATCATCAACAATATCTATCAAAATTAAGATGAAAAATAGAAATCTTTACTATAAAAGAAATATAATTTATGAAAGATTGCATTCTACCTTCTATCTTTGTTTGTAATTTTTGTATAATTGTGGTATTAAGAAAATGAAGAATCAACAACCACCGGATTTAATTCAAGGGCCATCATTTGCTAACTTATCATATAAAATATTATAATTATCACAACCTTTAAGATAATATAATAGAGATGAAGACCTTCAAGAATGACATGTTCTTCCTCAAATAGATGGCGAGATACAACGCATTTGGTAACACAACTTAAGAAACAACTCTCGATGTTTGGTGATTTTATTAGAGGTAGGAATAATTCTTGATGGTATTACAAATATTTTGTTTGAAAGAAGTTGTGAAGATTTCAACAATGATCAAATAATAGGGTGATCTTCCTACTTTGGAATGAGACATTATCGATGGCTACGAGGACCTATGAACTATCATTAAAGGAAATAAAGATTAGAATATGTGGCAAATATAATTTGCTACATCTTACACTTTCTCAACATGTGATCTTTGCTCCTTGTGGAACTCATCCCTAGAAGAGGAGATAATGTCATGGATATATATCTACTATAATTATTATCTAGATAATATGAATAGGTAGAAGTAGATAAAAATAGATTAATTTCATAATATCTTCTAGAAAAGCTTTCTAGATGTTATTTTTACTTTACATGTATTGATAATTGATTGGTAGGTTATAAACTTGGTCAACAAGATGACCATGTGCCACATGTATTGGTAGATTGCAGAACAAGTTAATCATGTGGTATCTATATAAAAAACTTATCTTGCAAGTTAAGATACATATCATTCAAAGTCAATATGTTTTTAGAGGTCCTATAGAACATTGCCACATAGATCCGAGGTGGATAGTATATATAGAGGCAAGAGTAAAGCCTTCTTCACATTTGTCAATTTCTTTCTTGTTTTTAGTCTAGTTTAAGAGTCTTTAGTTTCTTTGTCTTTTGGCAAGAGCTATTCCAGTTTCCTTTTAAATATACATACTTCTCTATTTCTATTGTCATATTTCTTTGAGAGAGTCTCACTTGTTTATTTGGTTTCATCAAGTTTTTATCCTTGACAATTATGAAAAAAGCTTTAGCATAAGCTTCAAGGATTGATAAAAAAAAAAAAAAAAAAAAAAAAAGCATATACAACATGCAAGTAAAGGTTGAAAAGTAAGAAAGAAGTGCATGCACAAACCAGCAAAAAAAAACACACGAGTTGGGACTATATGTAACTAAACAAGCATGAAAAACCACTCTTTAAATACAAATGGAAGGAAGATGAGTAAAAAACAAGCAAGGTAGTGAGGCAATGCATCAGTTGGTATTTTAACAAGGTTGTGAAGAAGGATAGATTTGATAAGGTCATCCAATTTGATTATTAGGTATTAAAATATCCAAGTCCTAAATTATGATGTATAAATTTATCTATATATATATATATATAATATTATAATAAATCAAGAAATAATCCAAAAATATTGTTGTATTCAAAATTTAGTATTAAGACGAACACAATTGTCTTGAGCTTTAAATCTTTCTGCTTTTATATAGGGTTTGTGTGTCCAACGACCAAGAATGTTGCAGCACTGAAACAATAGGCGTAGCTGCTATTGAGTCCTAGTAAATCTATGCTTGAGCGTCGTAAGTACTTCCACAAGCTTGAGAGATTGAGAGAAATATAGAAGAGATTCCAAACACTTCCATCGCTACTGCTGTGCACGATGCCTTTTGCAATTGCTGAATCATGCACGCAGAACTTTTAAAAAAGAGAAGAAAAGAAAAGAAAGAGAACATGAAGATGAAGGATGTTCAGGATCCTTGCAATTCCACAACCGATTTAACATTGTGATTTGTGCATGCATTAAGGATGCTCTACGGAAAATAACGAGATTAACTTCCGCGTGGAAGGCAGTTGGAATGGCGCCTAGGATTTTGCGTTTTTCTTTCTTGTCCTCATTCCGCTGCAATTCGGGATTGGGAACAAGCAAACCCGTAATGATTTTCCTCGTACAAATCTCGTACCAAAATCCCTTTCCCCCTCTTGAACACCCTTAACTGCAATGCCAAATTTTTAATCTTAAGATTGAAAGGGCTTGGACTTGGGAAATCGTGAAGACATCATATCTACGTTCAAAGCAATAAAGCAGAAGGCTCACTGATGTTATTTGCAAGAGGAAGCTTCAGTTCGTTTTATGATTCTGCACTGAATTGAAATGTGAGGAACTATTCTTGAGCCAGAGCCACTCATCTCAAAAACTGGTAACTGTCCACACGTCTAGAGGCCTGGGTTGAAATTTACACTGCTTTTTTGCCCTAAATTGGCTTATTCCTGCACTTTAGACACATCCGAATGCCCACATTCAGGAACACAGTGCTTCCTTGTGAAAGGTTATTTGTCGCGCCCCTACTTTAAGTTTGCTTGACATTGGACGCTGACTTTTTAGCTCGAATATGGGAGTGATTTTCGCTGTCTCTCCGTTTCCCTCTGCCATACATTTTTGAGATGCTATTGCTACAGTTGCAGTCGAACACAATACGAGATACACGTTCTACTAGGGAGATTTCAGAATTGAATAGACGAAAACGAGCGAGAAAATATGAAAGAAGTTTGTGTGAGGGAATGCTTGAATTCTGTTGGAAGCTATGTTTTAGTAATCGGGAGCTGGGTTACTGCAGGTTTACTTGATTTCGCTTTGAATTACAAGACTGCGATTCAGACAGGATCATGGCTCCCTCTTTAGCTTTATTGCAAGCAAATACTCCGTGTTGTATGCAGAAGTGGTAAAGTAGGATTTAGTGCTGTAGATTCCTCAAGTTTTAAGGGAGTACGAATCAGTTGCTACGTCAGGGAATTCAATACTACAACCGCTGTGCCTCACCGTTTTGAGTGCTCAATTTCACCACACTCTCGAGATTCCTCAGTCCAATACAACAGCTGCTTCTCTAATGGCAACGATAATACAAAAAACTTTGCCTCCAACCCTGTTTCAGTATTGCCGGACGACTTGAAACTCTTGCCTGACTTGCAAGAATTTGTGTCTGCTGCAGATCTTCCACCATTCCAAGTTCCATCCACCCGGGAATTAATCAGACGTGGAAGACAAGACCTTGCGAATGCTGTACGCTGGAAAGGCGAGAAGGTTATCTCGCAGCTCCTGTCGAATCCTAATTTTTCATGGAGTAACGATCCAACAAAACAAGTCGAACCGAATCCAGGTACTTTTCTCATCAAACGTGTTTATTTAAACGCATCTCCATGCACTCACGGCAGTTTTACTTAACGTTATCCCTTGGAGTATCTGGAAATCTTGATAGGCACTTACAGGTGCATGAGATGATGACTCTGAACGGAAGTAGGAGTCGTGGGTTTGTGAAAAAACTGTGAATTATGTTAGTCCGCTGGACACTCAGTTACTATGTGTTCAAGATTCGCGCCTCCGCAAGAGTCCCACACATTCTCCCAACTCGAAGCTCAAGTCACCCCCGAAGTATCGCGATACTGATTCACTCCTTTCTTACACCTGATTGCGGTAGTAGAGTCTTTACCAGTTATCAGTTGTTAAGTCTGGTGAGCCGTCTCGCATGTAATTATGATAAAGAATTCTCTAGCCTATCCTAGCCTACATCAATTTCACTGTCGGTAACCCCTATTCTGGAGACTTGTAAAATTTCAACACCGAATTACACTATGGTGAATTCCATTCTCGAAGCAGGCATTCAATCAAAGATGAGCACTTCAGAATCACAATGTATTGCGGATGTAAGTAAGCATTTATGTTTGTTTGAATGTGTACTCTTCTGGTGGTAGATGAAACACTTTCGTTGTTAAGTGAACCATCGGTGGGAACATGCTTGTCGTTTTGCAGTGGTTGCCGTTACCTCGAAATCGGAAGCTTGTGAATCCTCAAAAGGGGTCTTCAAACCAGAAGCAGTTCCTAACACAAGGATCAGTCTCCAGGATCCAGCAAATGCATCTCAGATTACTGATCTGGTTCCTCAAAATAGGCCAAATCTCTTGATTTCTCAATATGAAATTGAAAAAAACCTGCACGATTTATCTGACAAGGATTGTGCTACAGTGGATAGCACCACTCAAGTTACTAACTCAGATACCAGCAACATGGGCTACGATGGAATTGAGAGCAAGCAAGTCTTGCCAAGAACACAGAATGCGGTCAGCTTTTCTGTGGTAAGTGCAAGGATATGGTTTCGGTATGTTTTGCTTGGCTGGTGATCATGTGCGTTGTTCCCTGTCCTAAGATTTAGGTCTACAATGGATAACTAGTTCCCAGTTCTCTTTCCTTTCTAATAAATTCAAATACTATTTCCGGCTGTTTCATACATACGAAATTCGACTCTGAAGGGGGGTTACATAGTAGTGCATCTGTAAACTGGAACCCTTGCTTTTCCTCTAACTGTCTTATCACTGTTAGGTTGAGGGTGCGCGTAATGAAGGAGGTAGTGACGATGAAGATGCCACTGAAGTGTATACTTACAAAGACTAGTGATCTCGAGGATGATAAATGGGTGTCGCAAGAACCGGTTAGGAGTGTGGGAGAGTCGAGAGAAAGCGAAGCATGGCAAAAGGTTTTTATGTTGAGGTCTAAGCTTACATCGTTCTTTCATAAGCCTGTCGAGGAAAGCATGGCCAGGCCTCGTAGGGATTCAGGAGTAGTATTTGACATCATGGCTAAGCAACGGGAGTCTGAGGAACTTTCGCATTGTTTTGAACAAGAAAAGGATTTGCTGTCAGCAGGCAGGTATTTCATAGACTTCAACAGCTCAGCTGGCATTCTTTCAATTTGCACTTTCTTATTTGTTATTTAAGTTTGCCATTCAATGGATATAACTTGACATGTAGTATGCCTTATTGACTGTATTGTATGTGGTTCTTATTCCTCACTGTATTTAGAAAATTTATCAGTTCTCTTAACTAAGTCATGTGGAGAAAATTGTGGTTCGAAGGACAGATTCAGAAGCAGAAATTGCTCGATTGACATCACTACTTCACGTGAAGAACTTGGAGTATCGCAAAGCATCTCGTGAGTTAGAGGAGACCAAGGCAGTACTTTCACTAGTTCGTGCCAAACAGTCTGCTGATATGGCACAAGCTAAATTGATGGCTGTTGAGAAAGACTTACGTCTGCAAGCTGCTGAACAAGCTGTGGACTCGCTGAAATTGGTACAGTCTAACCTGCCCAAGTATTCTTTTCAAGTCGAGTCACAAGTGCTATTACTCAGCCGAAACACGAAAACGGGAAAAACTGAATCGTAGACAGGTGCAGCAGCTGTGATGCTTGATGACATTTGGAGAATTATAGAGCGGTGGTTGTTTGGCATATTGGTTATATTCCTTGACGTGATGTCTGTTTTCTTGTTTCATCTTTATCTCTTAGATTGCGAGGTATCATGCCATAACTATTATGGAGAGACCTCGTTTTGAAGGTCTCCGTGTACATGCAAGCAGTTTGTCCAATTCGTATACCTCTTGGTCTTGGGCTGGTTGCCATGATCTTGTTTTATTTTGGTATAATAGAGCTTGCTTCAACACTCCAACGATTACACGCTAAATTAGTGGGTGGTTAGAGGATGTGTTTGAGGAGTAGAGACGTTACGAATCGGTCGCTCTTATCCTTCCAACCCAGTGGAGTGACTTGATGCTTAATTTCACAACCCTGCTGAGAAAGCTGTAGGCACTTCTAGTCAAAACTTTTGTGCGAATTCAGGGTTTGACTTCTTCAGACGTTGAATCATGTCTGAACGTTAGCACTATCCTGCTCCATGTAAAATGAAAACTAGTTACTGAATCCTAATTCCTACTTTGTTGGCATTTGTAGTCATGAAGTTGCATAGTTCGTCAATGAAATCATATTACAGCTAAAAGAAGTCTACCACAATCTGTTGTGTGCCGACAGTTTCGCTTTCAGCATTCGTATCTACCGCATGAAAGAAACCGACAAATTTAGTCCCTTTCTGTAAAATCATTGTTGGATGTTGATATTAGAAGGTTTTTAACTTACTTGTGGGTATGCATGTTAAAAGTATGTGTGTTTCACCTGGAACTATGTGTGTTATGTTTGTTACAGTCTTTGTACTGTCCTAATCATTCTGCGTATACTTGCTTTTATGTGGTCATTTATAAAATCATGAATCTAGTGCTCTTCTGCACCCTTGCTAGGGATTGACTTAGTCGGTTTGAAGTGGTCACACGTAGTCTCTTTCACCTGCATAATTAGGTTCCTAATTCGTGGATTAGTAAAATTACAGTAGTAACCAAATCTACATTGGATGGTTACTTTCGGGTTGCATAAGACAACATGTCATCCTGTTTTATGTAGTCACTTAGTTTGAGGGTATTTTAAAGTGGTAAAACATACTTTTCATTCATTTTGTAGCATTTTTCTTTACTGTGGCTGAGTTGTGTGTAATTTATGTCTTACTCTATTCGCTTCAGACGCAGGTGGATTGGTGGGGTGAGGGAAGTCGAGTTGAGCTTGCTGGCAGTTTTAATGGCTGGAAATCACATTTTTACTTGTTGCCCGATCTTTCCTCCAAGGCATTACTAATGCTGCCCGGCACACGCAGTCCCTTGTTGTGGAGAACAGAGCTGTGGCTTTACCCAGGTGTGTATGAAATCAAGTTTATCGTGGACGGCAATTGGGTGATTGACGATCGTCGAGAAATCGTCCAAGGGAACTTGGATGAAAACAATCTTCTTTATGTGGAACCTTGACTTTCTTCTGTCAGATGTGGATCCATTTCTCTTTTTCTTTTTCACTTTATCTCCTAATATTAATGATCCAAAATTCTCACGACTATTACAAAGCGCTGAGGTCATGGTAATGTTCGGTATTGACAATCGAACAATTTTGAATTACAGCCTCCTGCAATCATATACTGATTTTCTTGGTTGTACGTTATCATTCTTTATGGTTGGTGAGTGTTGAAACGTCGACAATATATTTAGTTTGACTTTTAATTCGCCTAAAACCTTCTGCTACTTCAAATTTAGATGAGTTGTCCTGACTATGAAACAATGAAGAGGCTGCTGGTGGGTTTCACCTCCATCTATGTTTTTAACCACTCTAACTTCTGGTGATCAAGTTACTGCACATCTTAGGGTGATTATGTTGCTGCATCTACCAAACCTTTACGTATGAAGAAATTCTCATGTTTATTTTAGACAACATAACATCCCTAATGGGTATCCTCTGCAGTATCTTGAGGCGGTAAAATTGCCGATGCCTGAACAAGAATTTATCTCTTGTGGCATTTCGATGTGGCCGGAGATCGGACCAGTGTTGATGCTCTGAAATCATCTCCCAATATCCTAGAAACCAGATTTACACATACAGGTTCTTTTTTTCCTAACGCTAGCGATCGAGTGCACCACTGACAACTGAAGTAATCACCAGGATATACTTCGTTATGCAGGTGACAGGCAACTTTATCATAAGTTCGGAACTGTACCCATAGGGTTGAAGGCAGAATACTCTGAGTCCAGACTACTTTTACGAAACCAGCTTAGGTATCGCCACCCTAGAACGGGGACAGTCTTGGGATGTACTTGAACTCCCTAAACACACATGCTTAAGAATGAGTGCAAGTTGTAGGTTTAGCTGAAAGATCCACAAAAAGATCAACTAGTGGGATCCTTGTGTAAATCACACTGGACATATACATTAAATCTCTTAGTATCAGCATGCTTCGGTGTTTGTTTTTAACAGATCAATTAGAGCCTCAAGTGCTCAAGATATTTTATTTGTGATCTTGGTTATGGGGAATGCTTGGGAGCAATGCAAACTTTCGAGCAGTCATTTCGATGCAATAGCCATCGAAAATTGAGCCACTAGCCAGGATATTCTAAAAGCAAGCATTTGTTCATATTTATAAGCAGGATTACGCAGTCTGATTCTGAGGTGCAGATGCGAGTTCTAAAGCTGGGGGTATACCGTGGCGATTCCGGTTCTTGCCCTAATAATTTTGTTACAGCTACTCGTGTACATGCACTTAAACCTGTGCTGTCGACAATACCATGTCCCCTGTTATACATGAAATGTACACGGTACAGAGTCCGCAACATTCTGTAGCAATCCCCAAGCACACCCTTGAGATGGAACAACTAGTTTCATGAGGTGAGTGAGTACTGGTTTTACCGGATTCATCGTAGTGGCGTTGATGCAGATCATCCTCTGCAACCCAGCTGCCAAGCAAATCATGTAACAAGCTCTCACACAACGTAGGATACGGATACTCGTCTGGTACTTATTCCAGTTGAAAATTATTTCTGATAGACACAGCTGAATTGTACACTTGCCTTCTGATAGTAGTTCCTAGTATACAGTCCAACTCAGCACCCAGTTCAAAATACCTTAAGACTATGGAGTTCGAAACATCATATTATTTTGTTAAGCTGTTTAAACTTACCTATTTCGACACTGCTAGATTCTCTCAAGTTGTGGGGTAACCTAAAATCTTTACTCCAAGAGCGAGGCACATTATCTGTGTATTTACATTTCCTTGCAAGATGCAAACTCAGCTAATAAAATAAAACCTCGTATCATTTAAACATCTCCACATGAATTTTCAAAAATCACATTAAAATTAAAGAAATTTTTGAAACTGATGACAACTTAATCTCAATTGTTGTAATGACAATGTAAATAAATAAATAAATAAATACATACATAATGAAGCTCGAAGACAGCAGTTCTTGAACCTACCGACAGATATGAACCCCAGGATTTTTTTACTGTCGGTGAACTGTTGTATGATGGGTCAACTAGATTCGAAACCCATCGTTGAAAAGAACGGCGTCGGTGGGTTCTAGTTTGATGCTTTTAATTTTATTTGTTCCTCCCTCTCGCTTTCTCAGTGTGTGTGTGTGTGTGTGTGTGTTTATACTTGTTAAAATGAGTTATCTTTCCAATGCGGAGGTATGCATTGTTGAGAACAATCATACTTCACTCTGAATTGGGTGGTGTTTATTGCTAGTATGTTTAACGAGTTCATTGCAGATTTTTTCAGCTTTCAACGAACGTTCGTCTGAACAAAGACTATCTAAGCGAGAAAGAGGTGAAGGAGCTGACGGAAAGCAATCTTGGTGACTGTCTTCTGTCAAAACCACCATCCTCGTCGTCGTCATCGTCACTGTTTAGAAGCAAAGATCCTGTCAAGTGGAACCAACCAACGTCTCGGAGCGCCTGAGCCTGTAACCCTGCACAAAATGTGTTGGGAACGGAACCTGACAATGTGGGAAGCTGATTCACGCTTGGGTAGCGTACACTTCATGTCTCACGATTCGCACCCAAACAGAATCATTCAAAAGCTTTGCTTGATCGACTTGGGATTCTCCTCTCCCTCCCTCGCTCGCTCTCTCCCTTCCTTCCCACGATCTTGAATCCTTTTCTACGCTTCCGCCTTCACCGCATTGTTTATTCTAGGCCTACCGAGGGAATTGTGAGTGTTTTTTTCCCCGGAGAATGCTGGAGTTCGAGCTCGCATTTTCAGAATTGGCGGTGGCCTGTGATAGAAGTTTTGGGGATGTGGGTCTAGGCTTCTGTGGGAGGGTTGATAGTGTGGCCGGAGCTTAATGTTGCCTCTGGGTGCTCTGGTAACCCGAGTGGAGGTGGTGGAGGAGGAGACGAGGTTTGTTGGTGAGGTTTGTTTGCTGGGGTAACCATGGCGAGTGATGGTAGTGGTCTGCGTAGAGTGTTGTTACTTGTGTGCTTGGTGCTCTGCGTTGCGACGTTACCTAGACGTGCTGGAGCTTGGGGAGCTGATGGGCACCACGCTGCTTGCCTGATTGCAGAGGTGAGTGATTTCATGTTATTGCTTTGGAAATCTTAGACCTGAATTGCATTGCGTCTAATCCGATGATGTAGGGTTTACGTTGCGAATTTGTCAAGATGCCTGAATTTCAGGTTCATGAGTAAGTAACTTACTTCGAAGTTCAACTCAGAATTCATAAACAAACTATTTGCATTAAAATGAATGTTTGCATTTGTGTTTAATCTAGCTCTTGCTGTGGTTAGTCGACTGGTTCCAATGCACTTTTTCTTTAAATGTTGGGCCTTATTTTAGGATCCTGTCAGCAGACTGTTTTGGAGTGTCTAGAGTTAGGATGTTCTGCCTTGATTGCATATGACGTTGAGTTTAATTCCATGGGCATAATTTTCTTATCCGTAGCATACCCAAGAATTAGATGAGATGGATCATTCCTTAAAAGGGGATTCAAGTCCTTTTAAGCCGGAAGTAGGAGATCGCTTGTTTCGGCCGTGGCGATGCGAAGACACAATGTAATATGGTCGCATGTTTTGTTAGCTTCCATGAGTAGTTTAAACCCAGCGGAGAAGTGCTCTGCTTACTGTCGATGGGTGTTGTTCTTCTGCAGCCTCTGCTCACACCCACAACTTGGAAGGCAGTAAATTCCTTGCTTCCGGAGCGTGCGAATGGGAGTTTGGCAAGTCTTTGTACTTGGGCAGACGACATCAAGTGGATGTGGAAGTATCATTGGACAGCTCCTCTCCATTATATCGACACACCTGATTTCCTCTGTCGATACGACTACGACCGTAATCTTTCTAAGCTTAGCTCTCTTTCCAGTACGCCGTGTCCTCTGATATTGTCTTGTTGTTGAGCACGTGTAGACCTAGTTCATGACTCACAGTTTGCCATCGTGCAGGCGACTGCCATGACCAGCATGGTCAGAAAGGCTTCTGTGCATCGGGAGCTATTAACAATTTCACATCTCAGTTGACAAATTATGAACTTCCCAAGGCGAGCCGGCCTCTTCTAACGAAGACTCGTGCATCAGAGTGTAAGTGCCAATCTTTCTTAACACCCCATATCCCAAAAGGTTACGGTTGTTGAGTGTTTGTTATTGGGTTTTTAGTTACTCCTGCTTCGAGCATCGTCGTCCATGACCGAGAAGGTTAACATTGGTTTCATTGATCATGGACACTCATAGAACCATCTCTGAGCACTGTTTGTATATCCGAATCATTTCATAGAAACTAACAGATTTGTGTACTGAGTGGGGTTGTCAGATAACTTGACCGAGGCTCTTCTCTTTCTAGCACACATTGTAGGGGATATACACCAGGTTTTTGCACTTATCTACTTGCTTCGATTCACCCCATCCGTCCCTCCACCGTTTCCGTGATTCCAAAAGAGCTTTTTCTTTCGTATGAAAGTAAATCCTTCTATTTTGTTCCAGAAATATGGCACGTTGAGTTCTCCACGCATTCGTAGTCCTCGCTCAATTTTTAGGTCAAAGTTGCACCCATCGATTTTCTGTCTCCATAATTTTTTCATTGTGTTGTGTGTAGCCTTTGCATGTAGGTTTTACCTCAGACGCAGGTGGCAACACTATCACAGTGCACTGGTATCGACGCAAAACAAATCTTCATCATGTAAGTTTGTATCCTTGCAGTAAATCAATGCCATTAGAGCAATCATATCTCCTTTATGTTTCTGGTTGAAAATGCATGAAGTTATTCCCTTTTCCTCGATATGTCTTGTATTAGAGATGTTGTTTAAGCACTCTTAGTTTTTGTCATTTTGTAATCCTGCTACGAAGTCAAGAATTGGTCAGTAATCGATCAGCAAGTCTGATCTTTGGACACTGTACAACCAATTTTAGGAGGGCTCAAATTTTCTTCATTTTCTTATGAGATACTATGTGAACTTGCCGGCAGATTTGGGACACTGAGATGATCGTTAAGGCAGAAGATGTGTACTACAACAAGAGCCTCTCTAATATGGTGGATGCTATCATTCTTAACATAACCGTATGTTCTCAGACAACGAATGTTATTCTCTTGTTATGATTCGGTAGGAGCGAAACTTAATCTTTGTGAATTTCCGTGTAAAGTCTTGTGGTCATACCTCCGTCTCACTTCTAGACTTGTACAGAACAACTGGATTGGAGAAGCGCAGCTGTGGGGTGAATGCCCGAAGGGAGAAATCGCGTGTCCCGACACGTAAGTTGCAGCTTACACACTCCGTTGTGCTGCAGATATATGTACTCAGCTTGAATCGCGATACTAATGCGAAGACAACTATTGGCGTGTACTCGGAATAGTTTCAAATATCTGTGTTGTGTATATCCATTAAACATTTCGCCTTTTTACTTTCACCTTTCATCACTGCGTACTAACCTCCTCAAGTTCTGGGGTTCTACGGCTCCCGTGTGCAGATACGCAGCTGAGAGTATCAAATTAGCTTGCCAGTATGCGTACAGGAATGCCACTCCCGGATCCACCCTCGCAGGTGACCTTTCTCTACAAGTGCATGTGCCTATAATAGGACCTGACCTGCAAATTTCTCAGCAAATGATTCTGACGAACTTTTTTTCTCATGTGCAAAGCATCTCTGACGTTTTGAACAACATATTTGCTCCGCAGATGAGTACTTCCTCTCGCGCCTGCCAATTGTGGAAACAAGATTGGCTCAAGCAGGCGTGAGGCTTGCTGCCATTCTCAACCGCTTATTCGATACCAAGAGCGCCTCCCAGCGTCTTGCATCTCACTAGTTCTGCCATTTAGAATACCCCTCTCTTGTAAGGTCATGGCCAGCCCACTTTCTGACCATCTATTGTCATTATGATTTTATCTCATAATACATCCACTTGTCCAATGTCAGCGACCGGGGACAAGTGCAGGACCACGAGTTATTCTGTGCAGAGTATCTCACTTCGAATGAGCGTCTGTCCATCTATACTAACTCTGCCCCTATTGTAGATGCAAAGCCAGTAGTTCAAGGAGGATCTGACCCCAATCCCATTATCACAAAATCTGCAAGATCTGTGTGTCTCGGCTCCAGTGGCTTTGCCAACCGCAGCTCGGATGTTGAGCTGGGTTCGAGAAGCAAGTGAGAGACTGTTCCTGCCTCCATGATTTCCAAGCCTGACAAATGGGTATCTTCATTGTTTTCCTGGGAAATTGCACACCTACCTCAGGAATAGATCAGGTTTAGAGATATGTCTTCTTTTTTCCCCTTCAGTGTGTATGGATATGATAGTATCTGCATCTAACATCCTGCCCTGAAATGGAAAGTCAAAACGCTCCACTGTCCGACTCCAAAATAGAAGCTGAGATGTAAAAAAGCTGGTGACTTGGAAGTACCTAGCAGTGATCTCCACAGCCTGTTGGGTCGACACCGGAAGCCCCGGTCCCACACTGTGCACGGTATGCTCGTGCCTGGTTTACCCATTGTTTTCTGTTCGTCCCTGCTTCCTCCGCATTTTGCACTACACAGCACTTGGCAACCCTGCTCTAGAGATCCACTCGGATTTCCTACACATCTGCTTTGCGTTGACCATGCACCGAAGTATCGGCAACATCGCATCCCACAACCAGCTCACTGTTGCTGGCTGGATATCTTCACCATTTTCTACTAGTCTTATGTTGTTTTATTACATCATGCAAGCAAATTAATAAACAAATAGAAACTCCTCTTTATTCGTTCATTCAGTCAATCATATGTGTGTATGTAAACATACATGTAGGTGAGAGAGAGAGAGAGAGAGAGAGAGATGATTCGGGTTTAAAATTGTGACTAGCCGTGCACGATGAATTTTTGCATTTTGACACTGAGTTCCGTTTACACTGTTTATTTGTACATTTACACATTGATAAGTACTGTTATTATTGATATTTTGATGTAAAGTTGTTTAAATTTATTGTATGGTATTGGATAGATATATTATCATTGTTTATAGGATGTGATTATTGAATGTTTCGCCTCAAATAGCATTCATAACATTAAGCAGAGAACCGAAATTCTAAAACCGCTCTCAAATTTTATGATAGTTTGAAAAAAAAAAATCACTTGAAAAAATTAAAAGAATGAAAAAATAATTCATCCACACAAAATTATAATATTAATGAATACATAATTTAGATATATTTGTGAGAGTAATAAGCAATTGAAGATGACAACTGAAGACATTGTGGTGGCATAACTATTTTAAAAGTATCAAATTATTTAAAAAATATAATTTCTTATAATACATTTAGAATATCCACATAAAATAAAAATAGAAAACAAGAAGCTGTTGTTATTAGTTGAAGTTGGTGTCAAAAAAGGTGTGATTTTGAAAAAGATTTAAAAAGCTTTAACACAACAATAAATGATTTAACAATATATAAAAATATTCAAATACTTTACAGTAAGAGAAATAGAAAGATGCATACTGTATTTGGAAAATTAAGTTTACAGTGCATGGATATGTAAGGTTGATGTCCGCAATTGTTTCAAAATTTTCAAAATAAAATCAACCAGACTTACAACAATACAAAAAACATTATCTATTTGTATAAAAGCATGCATAAGTTTGATGGGCTAAAGGCAATTCTATGGTTGCAATTGGTCATGTAATCTGATTTGATGATATCAATATTTATAGAAATTTAATGTAATCTTTCATTTCCAAAACTTGAACATGTGTAATATGTGAGGTTGATTATATATAGATAAATAATAAATATAGTTAGAAAAAAATTATATTAGGATGTTGCAAAGATTATGTAGATCATATGTAAGATTATCATTTCTCCAGGGCTTTTATTAATAAACATTGACCCTATGCTAAAAAATTACATAAAAAATCATGTCTCAAAATTATTGGCACGTAAAATGATGATAAAAGAAAAGTCTTGTGAGCTCGATTGAACAATTCTAGTGAAAGGTCCATTTTGTCGGGTAATCCCCATCCTGACCTACCGCAGGTGTGAAAGGGACCCCACTCCGAGCCACGGCGATATGGATGAATCCCAGGGGGAACACGTTCTCAGGGCAAGTAGGTGTGTGGGAACGGCTCAATCCACGCCATGCCCAAGTGGTCCAACTTGAAAGCAACGCGGAAGGAACTGAACCAGCCGGTTAGGGCTGACGCCATCCGAAGGGTGCAGGCTACGCTTGCGCTTTGCCTAGGAAGGATTGCGCTGGGCCTTGGATCATTTAGAAAGCTTCTCAGGCAATCGTGCTCTCGCGTCTCCTCCCCTCTCCTCGCTCTCACGCGACTTGCCGTCGCTGCCTATCTCTCAGATTTCTCAGAAATTTCTGTTGAGTGTTTGGTGCCCTTATTGAAGGGGTGAGGAGGGGGGAGGAGGAAGAAGAAGGAGATAGAAGAAGGAGGAAGAGAAGCGTTTGTCTTCGGGGACAGATGACGGGGAAGGCGAAGCCGAAGAAGCACACGGCCAAAGAGATTGCCATGAAGATAGATATGGCCACGACGAACCGCGGTGGAGGCAAGGCAGGCGTGATCGACCGCAAGGCCTTGGACAAGGGCGGGCATGCGAAGCTGGCGTGTCCAATTTGTAAGGCGACGGCGCCAGACGTGAAGAGTATGTCAATCCACCATGAAGCGAAGCATCCGAAGCTGCCGTGGGAGGAGGACAAGCTCATTAACCTGCATGCGACGGCGTCGACCGCTGAGGACAAGCCCAAGCCCGGTGTGCGAGGCAGCTTGAAGAAATGAGGAAATCTCTTCCAATTGCTACTTTGTGTGAGTGGAGTGTCTGTGTCGGGTGTGATAGTGACTGTGGCGATTTGACCTTGTATAGGATCCGAGACCGAAGAGGATAGTGTAGGGAGTTACAGACGAGAGGAGAATGAAAGCCAGGAAGCTGGTAACACTACTTACATGCGTCCCGATATTGAAGCTGTGTTCTGGTTTGAGGTACTTCTAAGGGTCTAGTGTGAAAGAATGCGAGGCCGGAGTTACGCCGCTTCCGTTAAAGTAATAGGCCGCTGCACAGAGCGAGCCTCTGATTCTTGCATTCCGTGTGCCCTGGTAGGTGTTGTGGTTTTCTTAGGTTGCTGCCCTCGTCCAGCGCTTTGAACCTCATCTCAATGAAGTTGGCTCCTGTGCAATTGAGTGGCACCGACATGGATATGACTTGAGAAGTTGTGGCTGACCCTAGGATCCCTTTAAGCGTGAACGCCTGCGCAATATGTGGTGATGGAGGTTTCTTGTGTCTATGTTCTCCCTTAATGAAAAACCATCCGATGGTTCGGGAAGAACATTTATATTTATCTTAGCTGTGTGTCATTCAAGGTTTTTGGTCTGCTTGTCTGGATGCTGTGAAGCTCTGACTATCTAGTACTTCTGAGGGAGGATGTGTTTTCCCCTATTTAATGCCCGATTGTGGGAGGTCCTCGTCAATGATTACCTGATTATCTGCAATTTCACCGCTTGATACGTTTAGTTATACCAGCAGTGATTTTTCACGGGCGAGTCATGAACCAAGTCTTGAAGTCGTAGGGCAGACGGTCGACATACCTCTGTCAGATATGCTCCAGCACAGCTTCCTTGAAACCATTGTCTCATTATTCATGATACCTCCGTGTCGGAGTTGATGTGCGAATTGTTTAGACGAACGATAGAGTTAGCCAAATGTACATTCACCACTGAAATATTTTCCCATTCAGTTGCAACCGGCATGCATAGCAACACTGTTCGAAAATCGGTCCAGTGAGAATCGCAGCAGCATTCCGGAGCTCGACTTCTCCGAGGAAGGGACCGAAGTGGATGCAACCACTGTATTAGGACCAGAAATCCCCGGTTCAAGAATCTATTGCCTCGCAGCATTCTCTGCCACTGCCGAACATTTTTAGGCACCGCCCCGTCTTGAATACGTTGAGACAATCATAACTAGAAACAGCAGTAACATCAAAACGTAGGGATAGCTTACTGAGTCCGCTGATAGGAATGTGGAATACCCAGATGTGAGGCAGTAATCATAACCTCCGTAGAGTGCGACCACCAGCACCTCATGACCAATCTGGAAATTCCAGATCTACACTCGAATTTTCTCACTCCATCGCACTGGAACACGAACATCGAAATGCACGTGAACGTGCAAAGCTCACAGCAGCGAAAGCAATCAGGTTGGGGGGCTAAACTTCAACGAAAGCATTTTGGCTAAACTTACCTCGCTACTCAGTCCAGCATATTAAACAACCATCTTCTGCAACCTTCGCTATTTGCCAGAGGCCTGGAAGATAAACGTCATATCAGTTAAAAGAGATACAAGAGGCACACAGAGGCCATGCAACCCATGCACGGTCACTCTATGGGGGTAGGATTTCAGTAGCTAACCACCAATGACCAGACCCAGTAACTTGGGTCATCCCAGTAAGCTATCATGGCAGCACTTCCACTGCTTGCTAGAGGTGCCAGGGGCATAGGGATTGAGTAAAGGGCCTGAAGTAAAGCCCCAGCCAATCGCTTTTTCTCCGGTGTTATTGTTCATATTGGGCAAACTTGAGTAACCGACACTCGGGTGTTGAAATACCACCGTGGGAATACCATGAAGTTTCTATCAATTAAGAGAACCCGTTTGGCTGTGAGGGATCTGCTGAAGGATAAACTTAACACTCAACACTCGAACAGCAACTCAGAGCTGCTCTCATTGGGCATTTTCGAATTTGGAGATGAATATCTAGTGCATGTCTTGGTAGCTGGATAATGAAGACAATAAGCAGCAAGAGAGCACAATCAGTGACTGGCCTTGTAGCGATGTACATGCACTAGAGAGGAGTGTTTACAGACCACACTAATGTTAAAGTATTTAACAATATGTAATAATGATCTTCATATTAGTGGTGAATCATCCTTCATCTTGGAATGTTAACCATTCTACTTGCTCACAAATTTGATTTTGATTTTTTTTCCTTTGGTCATATGTTGAGGTGATAAACCATTCATTAGTGAGTTCAGTTTTTATGTAAAGTAAATAAATAAATAGGGTATAGCTAATGCCTTTACAATTTTTGATATTGTCATTCCATCTACATTCTTTTTCAATGCTAAATAAAAAGAATTTTTTTCAAAAATAATATTTGCATTAAAAATATTTATATATATAATTTTTAAAAATTAATATATATATATATATATATATATATATATATATATATAATTGGAATAATAAAAACTAAAGAAATATGTTAAGTTGGTGGCAAGTTGCGGTGGTAGTAGCAAAATTTGTGTAGCATTAGCAAATCCTATACAAATATAAACATATAAATTATTTTGATTTTTAACACTTTTTTTTATTTATAACGGAATTTTTGAGATATTCTTTTCATCTTAATCTATAACAACATAGATTAATGGTTGAAATTAATGAGTTTTTATAATGTTATTTATTTATTAATTTATTGGTTATTTTATAATATTTCTTCTTAAAATCATTAATTATGGTAATTAAAATTGACTAAAGGCAATAAAAATATAAGATTTTATAGCAAAGTTATATGTATTGGCATCAAGGATCGAGATCATACTCTATTTATATTTTTTCAGAGAAGAACAATAATAAAAATTGATTTTTGATTTTTTTTCATTCATTTATTTTTTTAATGTGTCCATTTGACATTACATTGTGTTTGAGTATTTTTTAACAATAAAATTAGATTTTATAAAGAAAATTTCTTAATTACAATTTTTTTATATTAATGCTTGTAATCCATTAAATTTTTAGAATTTAAGATTATTTAGCACAACACATTAAGGCTTTTGTTGTTTTAAGAGATATATTTTTACAAGAATATATAATATCATTTTAACAAAAATAAAAACCATGCATTATAAATTTATATTATCATTCAAAACATTGTTGATGTGCTACTGGTGTACTTTTAGAGGTACATCCATGAAAAATTGAAGAAACATCTAATGCCTACTTGTTTTTAAGTCTTGTGTTTTTTCTTTTTTTCTTTTTTTTTTAAAGAAAGAAAACATTATATATTGGAACACAATACATTTATGCATTAATAGAGTGAAAACAAAATACAACAAACTACTTCAGTTCTTAAACTTAGAGACAAAACTAAGAATACAAAGTACATGGAGCCATTATTAAGGCAAGCTCATCTATGTACTACACTGAGGTATTCTAGAATCATACTACACTAAGGTACACTAGAATATTTTCATATATAATCATACTACACTGAGGTATTCTAGAATTTCATTTATTTTTTTTATCACATCTATAATCAAGTATTTAATTAGAAATCTTAAAAAATTTCCATCTTTTGAGTAGAAAAGACCTATGTTGTGGATTTAATTTTATTTAATTTTTTAAAAAATATTTCAAGAAACTTATTTATATTAGATCAAATCCTATAAATCTATGTTTTTTTGTATTAAGTATATTCTATACTATATTCAGGGACAAACTTATTTATGTGAATTCAAATTATCTACAAATAAATTTCTCTTCATAAAGTCTAAATTTTTCAAAAACATTTGAATCTTAATAGAAGATATATTAGAAAAATTATTTATTATCAAGTAAAGAATTTCCAACCACTCCTATTCTAGGAATTGAATGTTAATTTATATAAGAAAAAAGTAGCCCAATTTCAAACATAACATTCTTGATGACAATTCTAAAACTGGTAGAAAATAAATTTATGTGTATATAGTTCATAGATAGAATTGTAAATGTCAAAATTCAAGCTAATTTTTTCTCTTCAAGTATTCATTGTTGTACAAATTTACCATATGATCTAAATAAACAAAGTCTCTTTGGTGGAGTAAGGATTGGACTAAATGTCTTTTTTGTTAAATAAAAAGTTATATTTCATAGACATGCATATTTATTCCAATAATTATGTAGATAATATTAATGAGTAGAAGTTAAAGTAGATAAAATTGACAATATCTTGAAGATTAACTTTTTAGAATCTTCATAGACTCAACTGTACTTTTATACAAGTCTACAAGTGATTGGTAGGTTGAAATCTTGGCCAATAAATTGGCCACATGTTATACATGTTTGTGACTTGTGATACGAGTTGGTTATGTAGCATACATGTACGAAACTTGTTGTATGAGTTAGACATGTATCAAAGGTCCTAAAGAATATTGCCACATAGTTCATACTTAGATAGTATATATAGAAGCAAGAGTGAAGCCTCCTTAACTCTTGTCAACTCATTTCTTGCTTTTAGTCTAATTTTAGGAGTGTAATTTTTCAATATTTGGTAATAACTATTCCAATTTTTTCTTTAATATACATATTTACTTATTTTCTTTTTAAAAAATTTCTTTGAAAAATATCTTACATATTTATATACAAACTTTGAGTTCTTACTCTTGACATTATGACCTAAAAGAACAATCTATTTTCCTACCACTATATCAATAGAAGAGCTATTGTTTTAGAGTAAATTCTTGTTAAGTTATTAAAATATGTTAGAGAATCAAATTTCTATTTATTAATTTAACCATAAAAAAAATCAACACCAAAATATAATTTTTTGGTCAATTTTGTTAAAACAATTTTAACAATTTTCAAGAAGCTTTCTACTTGAAGCATATTGTCTTTTAAGTCTTATTCAAGTGAAAGTTTTTTTTTTTTTTTTTTTTTTTTTTTTTTTTCTTCCATAGGATGGAATAAGACAAACCATTTTTTTTTCTACTCTACTATATTTTAAAGGAGGTTGGAATAAAATATAAAGAAGATGGTCAAACCTTGATTTATATAATCCAATCTAAATACTGGATTTTAGAATGGCATTATTTTGATAAAGAGTTTTTTTCTAAAAGATTGGAATATAAATGTGAAAAAAAAAAATCTAAAAGGAGCCATAAAATAAAAGAATGTAATATGTAGATATTGCTTCTTCTATAGATAACAAAGACATTGGGGCTTTGAAGACTTTTTTAATACAATGAAGATTATTTGAGTGGAAAATTGCAGCTTGATGGAATTTGAGGTCAATTTCAAAGAAATAATATTAAAGATTCTTTAATAAGAATAAATTCTAAACATTATGAAAGGAAGTAAGAAAGTTGATCTAAATAAACTTATTTATTTGTGGCTAGAATTTTCTTATTTTTTTTATATATATTTTGAAAGTATTCTTCTATTTATAATATAAGATAAACAACTAGATCAAATTTAATGCCCAATTTCCATAAATTGTTGGTTTAGTTTTGAGTATTCAATATCTAAGAAACTATTAAATATTTCCTTGGCCTAACTAAAGAGCCAATAATATCCATTTGGATAAGTGAGCTTTGGTGGATTATTTTAGATTAATGATTCTAAAGCCACATCTATCACAAGTTTTATAACAAACCTTTTATGCAATTTAAGATTGAATCCAAAAAGTAGTGTTTTTTTACAAATAAATTTTACCATTGCTTTAATCTTTTAAATAGCTTGTACAAAGTCAATTAAAATGGAAAAAAATGATGTAATAAAGAGAGTAGAATGTTATTTGCAATGATAGCTTAATTTGCCACATTAATTTTGATGAAGCACAGATAATCTAATTTATATTAATAAAAAATTGATTGGCATCTTAAATATTAAAAGAGATAATAAAAAAAACCTTACAAGCTTACTAATATTAATATTTTATTTTCATATCTAACTAGATTGATTTAACCAAGTTGGATGATCTAATTTTAAAATTATAAGTCTACAAAAATTTTGAACTTATTTATTTCTAAACTTAAAGCTGGGCTGAATTATTTAATAAATTTTAATAAATAAAGTACATTTGCTTCTTTTCCAAAGACCATATTTGTAGAGTCATTGGTAAATTAGTGATTTGTTAATGGGGACTTCAAAAAATAAAGAAATCTTATAGATGGTATTGATGGACATCATGTTGAATAATAATATTAAAAATTTCACCAATCAAGATGCACATAGTAAGGTACTAAAGGACAATCTTGTCTCACACCTTTTTTTAATAGATAAATGATTTTATTAAAGTCCTATCAATGCCAATTAATATACTTATTTTATATATATTACTTTTAATTATATAAAGAAAAGAAAATTTAAAAACTAATTATTCTAAAGCTTTAAACATAAAATCCTATAAGACCTTATTATAGGCTTTAAAAATATAAATTTTTTATAAGAAAAGGAATTAATGCCACTTTTATAAGGCAATAAAGTCTTGGTTTGATTTATTGTCTATTGAATAACTAATATATTATCTAAAATAAACCTCAAGGAAAAAAAAACCAATTTGGTTAAAGTAGATGACTTCTTTAAGAATTATTTGGTATTGTCTTCAAATTACATTAGTAAAAAGCTTCTCAAATGTATTTAATAAAAAGATAGAAATCTAGTTACTAGCTTTGTTTTTTTTTTTTTTATCTTCTTTGTGAAAAAAGAACAATGTATTTTTTGACTATATAAGATAAAAGTTACTTATATATATGTATATATATATATATATATATATATATATATCATAATTAATCATTATTTATCAAAAATAGCAAAGTAGATGGTTTGGGAGTGATTAATCTATAAAAGATCCTTTATTGCCTTTTAAAAATGGAATTAATTTCTTGTCTTCTTGTTCTTCTTCTTTGTTGCTAATTCACAATCCAATGAAGATTATCTAAATTTATGCATCTTTTACTCATTGGCAAACCATTAGTGTTAAAGAAATAGGTTGTAATAGACAAGAACTTGAATCAATACAACATGTGGCATTTACACTTAAACAAGATTCAATATTTAGAATTAAAATTTAGATATATAATACTTCTAACACACATTATTAAGCTGCCAAGATATTTACTAGACTTAAGGCTTCTATTTAGAGCATATATTAACCCCTTCTCACTAGTCCTAAGATAAGATGCTCATCATTTGGGCTATGCAATTAATAAAGTCACTTGTGAGTGTAAAATTCACTCCTTACATCAAATTATAATATAGCTTCAATTAAAAAAATGCTTGTAATTGGTGGTGTAAAGTGGAAGAAGCAAATACAACAATAAATGAAGAACAATATAAAATAAGTGAAGTAAGTGCACTCAAAGAATTGCAAACTACAAAATTGGTCACAATCTATTTATTAGATTTTCATCCAATAAAAAATAAAAAATAAAAGTAAAAATTTAAAATTTAAAAAATATATTTTTAAATAAGTAATTTATATAAAAAATATATAAATTAGAATCATAATAAGTAATTTATGATAATTTAAATATTAAATAAAAATAATAAATAAATAAATAAATAATTTATACTTCAAAAGTATTTATAATTTATTTAAAAAATAAAAAATTTGATCCTCACTAAGGCTCCTAAGTAGTGTATATGGATATCTTAGAGAGGCCACAAAGCCTTAGTCTTATCCTCATATTAACATTTAAGGTGCTTCAACCCATATAGAACTTGTGCACCTCCATTCTTACAAAGACTAGAAAAGCTACTTATCTTCCTATCTTGTACTAGTAAAACTAACAATTTTGCATTTTTATCTTCATCATGGTGTTCAAAAACATCAAATTAGCCTAACGACCTTGAATAGTCTTTAGATCTTATTTTATTTTTTCATAATGGTTCTGAAGGTGGTAAAACTCATTTTTACTAAAGTCTTGAAAATGACTCTAAATTTTAATAAAAGTTTTTAAATAATTGATTTAAAATAAATTCTAATAGTTTTATAATATTTTCAGAATGCTAATATCAAATTAAAGGTGCTTATTCCTATTTTAGTGATTTTTTATAGTTATAAAAATAATTTAAATTAACTAAAAATTATATTTATTAAATAAATTACTAAAAAATATGAGATATTTTTTCATTCTTCTTCTAATTAATAAATAAAATTTATAAATTTTTGTAAGTATTACATGTAAATAGAAAGCCAATGTAGACATTGGTTTCAATAACTAATTTTTAATTTTTAATAATAAGAAAAAAACATCAAATTAAGTAAAATAATTACCTCTAATACTTATCAAGTTTCTATTTATATAACTTTTTCTCAAATACAACTCTTATATTTAAGAAACCTCACAAAACTTGGAGATCATTAACTTGTCCCATTTGACATGCTTTCAAAAGAGGGTTTGAATAGAATCCGAGGATACTTGCAAAAACTTCCACCGATTTGGCGAATGAGTTAAAAAGCGCCTCCAATGTAGGAGGTAGAGGGAAATTCTATCCAATTCTGTTTCTTTGTCCTTTAGCTGTTTTCCGAAGATTTGAAATCGCCAGTAACTAAAAGTGCGATGCTGTTAATCGGCTACTGAAATCAACGACAGTGTGCTGGCTGTGCACCTGATTTTACTGAAGTGTGCAATAGTTTTCGCTATGCTTCACTGGGAAGTCGGATTAATCTTGTGCTCTCAGTGTCAGCAGTATCTGGAGGCATCACACATGAGAGGCCAGCTATCATCGAATGGAAGAAGATCTAGCAACCAGGCTATGTGGTGCAACTGGGTCATGACTCTGCGCCCAACATCGACAATGAAAAAGTTGGACAGCAAGTGAACATTGCCTCAACGCTAGCACCAGCAGAAAACCACCGTGCAGACAAGAGTGAACCTTCGACAACGCTACGTCTTTGCTCAAAGCGTGCTGTAAAAGGTGGGCAGGATATTTCTGACCATCGCCGTCGTCGGATCAATCCTCCTCGACCCATGGCGTCGCAGACCTGTGATTTAGAGGATGATTTGGAGGACGGTTTTGAGACCAAATTACATGACTTGGCAGCGTTCCAGGAGCCGAGTGTGAGGAAGAGTAATCCGTGTGATAAGAACGGCGCTTTATCTTCTCAACTGGACTGATCTAAGCCTACGTTGATGACTGAACGTTTCCCATATGTATAGTAATGTCCATCAATCAGCCATGCGCATTCCTAGATTCCAAGTGATTTGTTTGGCATCGGTTTTGTAGCCATTTCATAAACGAAGAAGGCATCGTTCTCTTTTTCCAGTAGTTTTGCTGAGTGGGTTCAGGGGAATCGGGAGAGGATACCTGCGTCTGCAGAAACGTTTGGGACTCAACTTCCTTTTCTATTGAATCTTTCGTCTTTACTTTGATTCTAGTAATCTCTACATTCCGTTCACATTGATACGAAGTTATGATATTTCCTGATTGCGGTTAATTTGATTATTATTGCTAGTATAATAATAAATCTAATAATGTGCTTGTGATTCAATCAAATCGTAACTGTGAAAAGAATGTTAAGTTCGGAGTTAGGCTTCCATGAAGATGAAGCCACTGGATGGTCATTGCCCTCAAGCCCACTGAACAATATGTGATGTGAAGATTTCCTTCATTCTTTTTTTTAACTGTGAGATGAGATGATCAAATCCACTTTCACAGTAATTAGTGTCATAGCTTTCCAGGTGATTACTAGGTAGAAACTTCCAGGAGAATTCCGAGAATGGTTAAGGGAGATTTTTACCGCTCTCTCTCTCGCTAACCACATGTAGAGCAACATTTCATGTCAAATATGGGAGGAGAGAAGGGCATTTTGCACCGAGTTTAATGGGCAGGAATGGCCTCTTTCCAGTTCATACGTTGTGGCAATATAGAAGCTAAATTGCTATTCTTTCTAAAAAAAATTCCACACCTCCCACTAGGTACCAGTAGTGTTAAGTTCAATGTCCACTATGTTCATACTGCAAATAGGATTCAAAATCTTCCTACGGTTTCACGAAATTGAAGGAAATGACCTCCGAGTTTTGCTTATCCACCATTGAACAAGCGCGAGAATACAGTGCCAAACAACTCGGTTTGGTTCTTGGTTGTGTAACTTAGTTCCTACATGATGTAAAATTCAATGAGCCCACAGCTCCTATTTTGAAGGTTTGAAGTGATTCACTCATACAAATTCTTAGTTAGATTTATTTTGAGAATCAATCACCAAAAGTAGGCCACATGATGCTATCCTCCTGCCTATCTATTTTTTATTTAAAGGATGATATAGATTATCAGGGGATTCCCGCTTGTTGGTTCGATTTGTTCACAGGCTACACGTCTTGTAGAAGGCTCTCATCCTCAACTTCAAACTCATCCATTTCCTCATCCGTAAGTTGGATCTTGTCACACTTCTGGTGATTGTGCTGCATCATCGACATTGTCGTTCCCAGCATTCCAAGCATGAATATCTGCACCATAACCCACCAGATCCTGTTAAAATGATGAAGCATTATCGAAGCTGCAACACATAACGGAAATGGAACTTCGAGGCGACTAAGCGAACGTACTTGCGATTACATTATTCATGTATCTCGTCATATAAATACAAAATCAACTAGCAATATACAGCGTTTCTTTTAAGAATTCCCAAAAGCACACCGCTCTGCTCCTTATCGAAGAAAGAATATTCCAGGGCTCGGGCTTTATTTCAAAGCCTAGGCTAATTTAATCCATATAATTTTGGACTTAAATAAACAAGTCGACGAAAAGACTACGAACAAGGTTCAAGGGATACAAAATACTTACAATTCCAATCCACTTAAAAACATTATTCACAAAGTTTAATTCTTGCGATTTCCCTGCCAAGATATTCACCATTATCTGCAAAGAAAACACACTACTCTTAAGATCCCAAGTGAAGAAGTGAGGATGGTGATTAGGTAGTCAGCTTTCCAAGACCATTCCTACGTGCAATGCCATTCCTGATACCCGTTTATAAAGAAATATAAACACGCCCACGTGCTTAATTAATAATTCTGTCACAACAGCGACGAGTATCCATTGTCTGTTCTCTAGGTGGAAGACTTAATTCGCACCTGATGAATCATCACACAAATAAGAGCTCCACAAAGACGCAGCATGTATGACATTAAGAAGGTCATGACAACTCCCATCTGCAACGAGCAACCCAAATTTATGGCGTTAAGTCCACCGATTCCACCTTCCTCCCTTCTATAAAGCAGCAATTATAAGGATAGCACTGCAGCCATGAATATAATGACCAGAGAAGAAAATCAACTTACGAATGAGAGCAGAAGAACACTTGCAAAGGAGAAAGGATGTTTAGCGTGAAAGCTAATGGCTTCAAGACACCGAAACTCCCACAAAAACCCTGTATATCTATTTTGCAAATGAGAACTTAAATGTAATCTTGCTCATAACCTACAAACTTGCTCTACCATTCTAAACACAGATGTTCCTGTTGTATATCTGACCTGAATCTCTCAAAACGAAGACATGCTCGATATAGAAGTACAAACACTACTTTTTATGGAAAGAATCACATGTAACAAACTGTGCTTAGTAATTCTTTTAAAGTAGGAAAACCCACCGATGATCCGAATGACTGTAGCAAAAAGTGAGATAAAGAAGACCTGCTCAGTGATTGCTGTGTCAAGTTTACGAAATAATTTATCCTGGTAAGTTTGATTTAATCCCTCCATCCTACATAGAGATATCATCATGATTCAGAGTTGCTTGTGATTATTGTAAGAAATTAAAAAAAAAACAAAACAAAACAAAACAAAACAAAAACAAAGACAAACAATAAAGGTCTCACATTGAAGGTAATGGTTTCTGATAAAAACATCAATTAAGAAGTCACTCTCGTTATGGCAGTGATGAACATAAACTCAGTAGTAATCATACTTGTTTAGTGTGCATTGAATACAAACGATAATACTTCATGCATCCATGAAGTAGTAGATGGTAAATAGGTTCTACCCAAGATAAACAACAGCCGCAAAGATTCCTCCGAAGGCCAGATACCAAGGAGCTATGGCATTGATAGTCTTTGAGGGCAACTGTAAATACACCAAATATGCCATAGCTTTAAATGACAAAGGAAGGACTACTCTTGAATGACAAGGTCTACTACACATGTAATTGTTTTTGCAAAGTGGTCTAAAAAGCAAATCAAAAGAGAAAGCCGGGATTTTATAATACAACAAGATGTACCGTCCTTCAAATAGCAGGTATCGTATAACATACCCATGGTAATGCTGATACGAAGCAGCCACAAATAAATAACCCGGAAACCAACCAATCCCTTCGGGAGAATTCTATATCCATCATTGCCATTTGCAAACCCTGCAGAACAAGATCAAAATGCAGATATTACAATACGACAAAATGCACATCCTCTGCCGTCTCAAATGAAAATGATACCTTTAAATTATTGTAAATGAGTCGAAATTTCAAGAATCTTTCAAATATATTAAATTTCAATACAAAAAGCAACTTATATAAAAGTCGAGACATGGATCCTAAGGGAATCCTTCTGCATGCTGTGCGGGAAAAGAACTGCCCACCATTACAATGACAACAATCAAGCATTGCCAAGTCAAGCTCCACTCCTCTCCAACAAGGCTCAGCTGCATCAGCACAATTGGGTAATTTTAGTTGCATCCATAGATTCACAATACGTCAAGGCATGCAGCTGTGGGTACATACACCACAAAATATTTTATACTACTGCAGTTCATGATTATGAACGAGTTGAAGATCAGTATTCTGGCATTACCACCATAAAAACCTTCAAACTTATTCCTGACACCAAATTAACAATTTATGTGAGAAATCTGCCCAAGAGTTATCGATGTTTATAACTAGTAAATTATCCAAATCAGCAGCCATCTAGTGATCACCTCCAAAACTCGACTTATCAAGGTAAAGACATCATTCCCATGCATGGCATCTTCAGATTTCATCGAGCATGATCGAATCCTTTCACTTCAAAACAATGATGCCCAGAACATTCGGGTCGATGCAGTGCTAAGTTTCTAAGATTAAGCTTTCTCAAATACTAGCTTCACAAAGAGATATAAGTATTCCCCCTCTTTCAACAGTGACGGATCTAAGTCACTGCAAAACAGTTAATGTAATTGTTCGGAGAGCTTTAGGGGCAGAACTACAATGACTTTTATATTATACACCATAAAACACTTTTCTCCTTGCGAGCTGAAGAACCTAAATTTTTACCCTTGACTTAGAAACGGAGGGTCGTACCTGGTTCTCAGCAGTAACGGCAATAGCTGCAGCAGTTGCGATCACTGCGTAAGCATGCAGAGAAGCTCTCATAGTGAAATATTTCTTCCCTTGGACCTACAAATCCAAGCTTATCCTTCTCTACAATTATCGCGTACTCAAAATAAAAATCAAACTAGCACGAAATTCATCCGTCACAGAAGATTTCAACATGAAAGCAAATTGGTAAAGATTAATATGCAAGCAAATGAAATTTCTTAAAGAAAAAAGAAAAAGAAAAAAAGGTGGTGATACGTGAGGTTTTGGCATGAAAACAAACAGGAAAGGGTCATAATAATAAGCAGAAGTTCTGTGAACGATTGCTGGCTTATGATCCATGGTTTGTCTTGGTCAACATGGCTTTCGATAGGGAGATATTGATTAAAGTACTAATGCCGCTTACTCACCAGTAGCAAAACTCCGGCAACAGCACAAGTCGCTGAACTTCCACAGAGCTTCGAAAATGCGCCGTACTGGGTGAAATTCACATGGTTATCCTCATATGATTGCGCTGCTGCTAGAACCTGCACTCTCATACGCAAGTACAACCTTCAAAATTCGTAATAAGAATTCAATACCTTGTAGCTGGTCGCAACTTGAATTTACCGAGACAAAATCCTCACTTCAATTGCAATCTCTATGTCAATGTAAGAATATTGCATTCTTACATGTAGATACTGTAACTGAAGCCCCCAACGACCGCACTGATAGTTCCAATCAAATAGAATGGCAGAAAGAAAAATGTAAACCTCAAATTGGGTTCCAAACAAACTTTCAGGACATTTGTTGGACGCCATGAACGCACCGGAGTCAAGCTGGTAATGGAAATTTTGATAAAAGCTATGGCCAGCGCAGCCAAACTCAATTTCACAGGCTCCTTCTGAAGCCATAGAATCATACAGTCGTGGAACCAGCCTGCATCACTGAACCCTAACGCCATCCCTCCAGAAAGTTGCGTTTCTCACTCACGTACCATAGATACCATGTAAAGTCCAACAACCCTGCTAGTTTCCAGCACGACCAAACCTGGCACTCGGCGATGGGAAGTCACGAGCACGAAGGCGGAAAGCTGTTCATCAAATTCCGATCTCCGCTTACGACAACCGAATCAACCCGACAAATCACTCTAAAAGCAAATCCCCGCAAACGATAATGCTACAGTTTGAAAATTTTCCTCAGTACGAAGCTCACTTCAGAGATTAGGACAATGGCATTGGGAACATGAGAAATCGAATGCAACTTCGAGCTGCGAATGCGTTAACATCCACTCGGCACCCCGCGATCGAAAGCTTCGAATCGAATTCTGAAAAATCCTGAGTGATCTTTGTCCGACTGAGAAGATCGGTCGCAGCCTACCGAGGATGCATGTTGGCATATCAAAAACTTCGTTCGTCTATTAATGGATGAAATTTTGATGAATGAATCTATTTTTCTGTTCGTTGAGACGATTGACGTTGATTGTGTGTGTGTGGGTGTTTTTGTGAGCCGGAGTGTTGCAGAGAGAACTTGGCGATGGCGATTAGGGTATGATGTCTGGAAGGACTGGATATGAGGTTGCCTTATTGAAGAGAAGGTTTTTTGTTAGTATTTTTTATGAGAGATTAAGGTGTGATTCTCGAGAGAGTTGTGTGAGCAGGGGGAGCGATGGCAGGGCCGCCTGGGGCAGGGGGTGGTAGCGGTCAAAAGCGGGGTCGGCCTGCTACGGCGAATGCTGGAAACAGCGCAAATCATGTAGGTCACGTGGAGAATGCCACTGCTGGCGCGGCGCATCAGCCTTCGCCTGGGCCGAACCTGGGCCCGTCGCTTCAAGTGAGCCACAATTTTGCAGAGCAGCATACGAAGAGAATCGTGATGGCGCTGCAGAGCGGCTTGAAGGGTGAGCTGGCGTGGGCAATCAACGCGCTGACGTTGTTGAGTTTCAAGGAGAAGGATGATACTCGCAAAGACGCAACTCCATTGGCTAAAGTGCCGGGATTGCTTGATTCACTGTTACAGGTGATTAGTGAGTGGCGGGACATAGCGCACGAGCGGATGTTTGCGAAACTGTCCAGGCCTCGCTTGCTAGGAGCTGATCAGCCGTATACGGGGTTTGGTCTCGAGCATGAAATATACATCCCCGATGATGCACTGCTGCATGTCAGGGCGGCGGCAGAGAGGAATGCTCAAGGTGCTGATGCAACAGAGACCAAAGAGGGATGGTGTTGGGACGAGGAAGGGCTTTTCAATCTCGACGAAATTGGTCGTCACGAGAAACAGATATGTGCTGTGGCGGTATCGAATGTGTTGCGCAATATGTCTTTCATGCCTGAGAACGAATCGTTCATGGCACAGCACCGTGGTTGCCTAGAAACTTTGATTACAGTCTTAGAAGATCACGAGACTGAGGACGAGGAGCTGGTTACAAACTCGACAGAGACGCTTTTGAACTTAGCGCCTTTCTTATGTTTGAAGATATTTACTAACAACGGGAACAATAAAGCGAACAACCCAGGAAGCTCAATGTCCGATAAGAGGATGATCGATGCTATAATGACGATGCTGTCGTCTCCTTTAATTTCCTGGCACTGCAATGCAGCAGAGCTTCTTGGACGACTTGTTGTAAATCCTGACAATGAATCCTCCATTTTGCCTTTTGTTCCCCTGATTTTCCCACGATTGGTAGAGCTTATAAGTACTGAAGTATCTGGCGATGCTCTCGCGGCTGCTGTGGCAGCATTACTCAATTTTTCCGAGATTAACACGGACTGCAGGTTGCGTCTTGCAGGCGAGCGCTGGGCCGTGGGAAGGTTGCTGAGGGTAGTAGGTTCATGGAATCATCATCCGCAGGAAGTTTGTCGAAAGGCAGCACTTACCCTTGAGAGTTTGGCCTCTGAACCTCAGAATAGAATTGTTTTGCTCGCCTACGAGAGCCTGATTGCTGAGCTGGCTGTTGTTGACCAGCGAATGTCGGATGTTTTTGCCCGCATCCTTTGGGAGCTCAGTTCAGGTGTTAGCTCCAAGATGGGATCCATTAGAGGAGTGTGGGGCTCAGCGTGATTCTAATATTTTTTTGTAACTCTAATATTTTGCTGGGTTTAACCGCCGAAAATGTTGTACAGCGGCGCTATTTGAAGAACAGTAATGCTTCCCTGTGTAGCACATGCTATCGATTGCATCCCTGGAAAGAATGCGTGGCTCCTGGTGCGTCAATTCATATCCTTCACTCATGGCTTAGAGATCATGTACTGTTTTGGGTACTGTGTGTAGTCATCAGGTTGCAGTCCTAGTCACACTGGGAAGAGTGCAACACTGGATTTTGAATTGTTTTGGCTACTACAGTTGAAAGATTCAGACGGAAGCTCATTTTGTATTCTGCTCGAAATTGTCATGAGATTTTGGGGGAGGTAATCTTGCAGGTCAGGTTTAACTGGAGATTCTGCGGCTTCTCAAGATCTTTACCACTGACTGTTTTGTAGCTGGTAGCCATCTCCCCATGTAGTTACATTGTAAGCAATACAAAACAGAGTTATTTTCTTTTCTTTTTCGTTTGATTATGCCTAATGGATGGCCGTGGTCTTGTTTTAGTTACAGAACTCATCGTTCCTTCTCATTTAATGTATTCTGCAGTTCTGATGAATATGTAAGATGTATTTTTTCCTGAGTGATGTATTCACCAGTTGCTGCATAAAATGAACTAAATTTGTTGTTATGCATATAAATTAAAACTTCATAAGTTTGTAATAGATACTTAATTAAAATGTTTCACCAAATATTTATCAGAAATAGCTATAGTTTCTACTTCTTTTTTCTTTTTTTTTAATCTGTTTTAACCTCACAATTATCATGAAATTTCTCAATTTAAAATAAAAATAAAAAAGGCCTTTGAAAATAAAACATTTATTTTGCAAGTACTTTGAGAACAACGTCTTTAAAAAATAAATTGTGAATACATCATAAATTTATTTTTGAACAGTCATAGGTCACATCATTTAAATAAAGTTTATTATGTACAAATTGTACTATATTCACTCTTCAATGATTGCAATTTAACCTATCTACTTGCAAAAAAAGATCAAATAGTAATCAATTAAAATATTTTTTTATTAAGATAGCAAAAGAATACCTTTTGTAATAAAAGGATAATAGAAATTTAGAAATAGCTTTACAAATAGATGTTAATTAGAAATTTTAAAATAAATTTATTAAATTAAATAATATACATTGTAATTCTAAAAATACATTATTAATTAAGATAATTTGAATTATTCTAATATTAATTAAAAAATTAAATTTAACAATTGAAAAAATATCTAGATTCACCTATAATTTGTCTATATTCATTCTATTATCTTATCATTTAGTTGCTACATAATTGTTGATATAATAACCTACATAGCAACATTAGAAAAAATTTAAGTATAAATGGATAGATAGAAGGAAAAAAATTAATTGTAAAAATAGAAATTAAAATAATATATATATACATGCAGAGTAGAGAGAAAAAAATAAGTAAATTGAAATATCTACCTAATATCATGTTGCATTCTTCACACTGCCATTATTGTAGTTTTATGATGTAATCAAAAGCAATTTTGTTTTTAACAATGTTTCAATGGAGTAGTCTTTTGTCTTTGTTAATAATAGATCCAATTTGGTAGAGATGTTGTTTTGGTAGAAAGGTCTAAAACATGTGCTTCCATTATATCAATTCACTAGGCCTAGGTTATAAGAGATCATCTCAGCCATTGATAATGCGTGATTTCAAGGCAAAAAGACCACTTTAATATTTGATCATTGTTGAGGCCTTTTGTAACTTTCTTCAAATAAAATATTTGTTATACTATTAAGAGTCATTTCTACCTTCAATAAAATCACCAAATATTAAGAGTCTTTTTCAAGGTTGTGATAGCAAATGCATGGTATCTTGCCATCTATTTGAGGAACATGTTGTTCTTGAGGATCTTCATCTTGATTATGCCATCTTTAAGATTGTAACGATTGCAATGTCTTGTTTGATAAGTCAGCAAACAATGGTTCTTGAATTAAATCTACCAATTATTGATTCTCTAATTTGTTAGCGTCATAAATATAAAGAACTCACAATCAAGGATAGAAGATAGAATTCAATCTTCATTGAACATTTTTTTATTTTTTTTTATAGAAAAGATTTGTTTGACTCTTCATCTTTGTTTTAATGGATGTTGTTGATGAAAAACTTTGATCTTTTTATTGCATATGAAAAAAAAAAAATATTGGCTCTAATGTGCATTTACTAATATTATATCTGTACAAATGAACAAGATATTCGAACCTAAGTTGGTGCAACCTTGACTCTATGACTTCTTTCATTTGAAACACTTGTTTATTATTTACTTTTATAGGATACAATGGCATTTGTCTTCTTTTTGAAATATTCATTATCTTATATGGCTCAGATATAGTGATATGGCTCAAATAGTATTATCCAACCATCTTATTGGTAGTTGATGGTATACCTCAAATACTGCTCCAAAACTTAATTTATGCGTTCTATTTGTCCATTAGTTTGAAGATGGAAAATCGAAGATAGTTTTATATCTATTTTTACAATCTTAAAAATAATTCTCTAAAATCTTGATACAAAATGAGTCCTCGTATCTAATATAATATCCTTGGATAATCTATGATAGCAATAGATGTTAGAATAGAAAATTTTAATTATTTCTTTACTTATGATAGATTTTCTATATGATACAAAATATACCATCTTGGTGAAACAATTTACTATCATGAATTTAGAATCATAAGAACTTGAGGCTAAAAGATTAGTGATAAAATCCATTAAAATGACTATACTTGGTTCAAAATATAGTTTTTTTTATTTATCTCCTTTTTTGATACATATTAGGTTATATACTCCTTCAAGATCTTGTTGATATAAATCTTTTCTTAATTTAATTCATTAAAAAAATCTAGATATCAAAGATAGAAGATACATATTCTTAATAGTAATCTTATTTAGCCCTTGATAATCTACATATACCTATAATTATCCATATTTTTTCTTTATAGAGAAGATTAGAGTTCATACTAGAAAACTATAAAAGATTTTGATCCAAGCCAAAATAATTCGGCTTAGAGTATAATTAAAAAAAAAATTGGTTTGGATCCACATTATAAAAAAGATTTTATGATTAACATTTTTAAAAGACATGGATCACCATTTATGACTTCAACATGAATAGGTTTAATTTTCTTCACTATCGGTATGATATATTTTTTAACAAACTCTTCATCTAAAAAACAAGCAAAGACTCTTGAATCTAGCAAGGCAAAGGCTTTTTGATGTTTAGGTCTTAAACTAATAACTACTGTAAAACAAGATGAAGGTTTTGAGAAGAGAATAAGACCTTCACTAGATATTAGACAAAGTTCCATCCACATGGTCTTTATTGTAATCAAACAAACTCATTTTTTTCTATATTGTATTCTTTAATAGTCATACTACTCACTTTATAGTTACATGATTTCTTTAGATAATGTTAAGTAGTGTGTTTAAATTCTCCATAATATAAGCACAATCCTTCTTCTTTAGAATGAATCTTTTTTTGCTCAATATGATATTAAAAATATATAGCATCAATTTGGATATCTTCCACTTTTGAATATATGTGTTAAAAAGATGTTAGTCTTGCCATTGAATTGAGGCCTATTTGTACAACTTATAGATTAAAATTCAAAAAGCTAATTAATACACTTTACAACAAAATTGATTGCTTGATTCAATGTCTAAGGATAAAATAAGTTGAACATCAATTTCTTTACATCATATTGTATTGCATAGAAAAATTGGCTAATGAGTGTAGCATTGTCCCATTTGATACCAATTGCAAGTTGTAAAAATTATAAAACATATAATGTTATAGATCAATTTTTTTGTCTCAAAATACAAATTTTTTTGGTTTTAATACAAATTATATTATATTCTCCATACATGGATCAAAATTATACCAAAAAAACTACTTAATTATCTAATATTGGATCTTGTTATTCAAAAAAAGATAAAAATTATAATAATGCAAAACTTGAAAGTAGTGTTATGATAAATCTGATTTGTGATTATAGAGTTGGATAGCTTTGAAATAGAAATTCAATCACCAATTATACTTTATTAAAGAATCCTTGAAACTTTGATCTTATGCCATCAAACTTCTCAAGTATAACAACTCTTGGTTCTCTAATGCTTAAATGGTATTTTATCATAACAGAAGTAACATGCTTTGATGCAGATGTTGAAGCAGCTTCAATTATCTCTATATCTTTACTTCTAGCCAATCTTATTATTCTTTGTGGTGGTAAATTGAGTTGATACATTGCAAGTAAAAACTCTCTCAATTGTTCTTCCATTTGTGCCATTACACTCTTCATCTTAATAAGCTTTGTCATAATAATATTAAAAAAAAGAAAATATCTAATATTATTCAAGATAAGTGGAAGAAAGGACTTGAGAACAAAGAAAGTACTAAAAATATTAATTTACAAGATATTAATTACAAACTTCTAATACACTTATGTCTTATCAAGAGAAAAAGATAATCCATTTTTAATCAAGAAAAGACAAAGATTTGATATTACAATCATCACTTTTGTCAATTTGTTAAGAATAAAAATTCAATGAAGGCAAATAAACAAGTGAAACTTTTTTCAAGAAAAAATAAAAAAATAGAAATAAGTAAATATGTATATTCAAAAAGAAACTATAATGGCTATTGCCAAAAGACAAAAAAAATAGAAATCCTTGAAAGTAGGCTAAATTCAATAAAGAAATTAACAATAATGAAGAAGGATTTCAACTTGATTCTCTATACATTATCTAATTAGGAGCTATGTAGTGATGTTCTATAGGTCTTCTAATACATGTTCAATATACAAGACATGTGCCTTAACTTATAAAGCTTCTAAGCAGCTTCTCTACAAGATATTATTAAATTAATCTATTTTTATCTATTTCTACCTATTCAAATTGTTTAGGTAATTATAGGAATAAATATGTATATTTATAATAGTATGATAGATAAATAGTTACATATTAGAAAGAGGTATACAATGAAAGGAAAATTTTGCACTATCCTACTTTCAATCTAGTGACATCAATCACATGACATAGAATGGTTCATTCTACTAAGAATTCTTATCATACATCACTTGACGTGAAATTCTCCTTGTAATTTGAAACTAAAATATTTTCTTTATGAGCTTAAGACATTAGAACTGCTATACTTTAGAAAAGACAACTTGAATTGTAGAGGCCAAAAAATTATTTATTTGAAATAATTACCTTTAATGTTACAATACAAAAAATTAATTGATTTAAATCTTTTAAAAATTTGGATCCTATTGAACAAAAACTATTGTTTAGTTAATTAAAATAATTAGCACTAATAAAATAATATTTTGGTGATTTTCACTTTTAAAAAATAAATTATTTATTACAATACCATTGTTTGTCATACATGTAATAAGATGCAAAACCATCACATTTACATCATGCAAAATTTAAAAAAATCATATCTCTCCTTAAAGACCCAAAAACACTCAACTAAATATGTCACACCATTTCAAAAACACTCAACTAA